TTCAATGGGCTTTTATTTTATTGATTGATATGTGGTGCCGAGAATCGAACCCAGTGCCTCACACATGCTAGGCAAGCACTCTGCCACTGAGCCACAACCCCAGCCAGGAAAAATTTTTTATATATATGCAAATATTGATGCCAATGTTCCACTCCCTGGGATCTTAATTTAATTGACCTCAGGTATAATCTAAGGTGATACCTGTGTATAGTCAACGTTGAGAACCACAGATGTAACTCCAAAGCCATCAGCCAAGTGTTCTCAAACAATATGCATCACCTCTAAAGCTTTAAAACACAAATAAATGCTGAATTCCAGTGCTATCAATTAGAATCTTTGGGGATAGAGTCTGGGAATCCACATGTTAACAAAGCTTTATAAGGGACTGTCACATAGCCTGGATTGAGAACCACTTTCTTGATCAGACACTGCACCACCTCCCTCTTAGAACTGTGTTACAAGAAATTACAACTGTCTTGCCCTGCTGTAGAGTCTGAACTCTTTGAGAACAGATTTATATTTTATTCACCTTGGTCAGCACTCCAGCACCCAACAAGATCTCTTACACATGATGCATTTTAGATACTAAAGAACCAAGAACATATCTTTTGTTAATCTTATTAAGAAAACAAAGAACATCTTTGCAGAGTACTATTGGCCCTCCTTATCCATGGGTCCCCCATCCAGGATTCAGATGGAAAATGTTCCGGGGGTGGGAGGGTGGGGGAACTGCATCTATACTGAACATGTACATTTTTTCTTGTTATTTTTTCCTAAACAATACAACAGAACAACGATTTTCATGACATTTACATTGTACTGTGTATTACAAGTAATGGAGAGATGGTTTAAAGTCTATGGATGCAGTCACATGCAAATACTGCACTATTTTATAAAAGGGAGTGGAGCATTGTGGGTCTTAGTATCCATAGGCAGGCCTGGAACCAGTTCTCACATATGCTTTTTAATCTCTGATATACTGACCTGAAAACTAAGCTCTCAGATCATCACAGCCACCTGGCTATTAAGTGCCAGGATTAGGATTCAAACTCAGATTCTCCTAATAATACTCTTTCTTCTACTTTCCAAGCCTTAAAATCAACTACAGAATGAAAAATTCAGCTATGTGCATATTTGGATACATGCTGCCAGATATGTTTCTAAAATTTGATCATAACCTGTCACATGAGGAAAAGGGCTCTGTTGGCACTATGAAATCCATTTGGAAAAAAAACATGTTAGTTTAAACCTAAAAATTAATTGTGGGATCCAACAGATTTCCCTTTATTTTCTTCGTTCCCATCCTCCCTTACCCCCTAACATACACAGACACTCTTCTTTCATTGTTCTTTGACATTTCTTAACAACTGTCTAGTTACTGCATTGGAAATTTCTTGAGGTTTTTGTTTTGTTTTGTTTCTCCTTAGTTTGTGCTGTTTCTCAGACTTTTCAAATAACCTGAGCTTCTGGTAATAAATGAAATATTTTTGAAGATTCCAAGTACCAGTTACCTAAAGTAATAAATTGGTATCTGATATATATTTCTGTTTCATTCAATATGAATAAGCACATAAATGCAAACAGGTATAAAGTCATGATGATTTTTCAAATAAGACATGGAAACCTAAGTTCCAGTTCATTTGCCATTTCCAAGCTATGGGACTTTGGACAGGGAATGAACTTTCCAGAACCTCTTTCCTCGCCTAAAAAATGAAAAATAAAGGGACCAGGATGAGCATGCCTATAATCCCAGCAGCTTGGGAGACCGTGGCAGGAGGTGGAGAGTTCAAAGCCAGCTTCAGCAACAGCGAGGCACTAAGCAACTCAGTGAGACCCTGTATCTAAATAAAATACAAAATAGGGCTGGGGATGTGGCTCAGTAGTCGAGTGCCCATGATTTAAATCCGTGGTACCCCTTGCCCCCCCAAAAAAGAGAGGGATAGACCCTCTCAGATTTTCTTCCAAATAGAAAATGTTATAATCCTTTAAAATAATAAGGCATTTATTATTAGGTCTTCAGCAAACACTATATTAATATTTGTTCCTTTTTTGCTTGATATCTTTAAAGGCAAACAGAGACATTGTTTATTTTTTTATTGATTTTATTTTTTTAAATACACGACAGTGGAATGCATTACAATTCTTATTACACATATAGAGCACAATTTTTTATTTCTTTGTATATAAAGTATGATGATGCCAATTCATGCCTTTATACATGTACTTTTTTTTGCATTACAATTCTTATTACACATATATACCACAATTTTTCAAATCTCTGTTTGTATATAAAGTAGGTTGACACCCAATTCGAGTCTTCATACATGTACTTTGAATAATGATGTCCATCATCCTTGCTAATCCCCTGCCCCCTCCCTTTCCCTCCCACCCTTCTTCCCTATCTAGAATTTATCTAATCCTCCCATGCTCCCCCTCCTTACCCCACTATGAGTCAGCCTCCTTATATCGGAGAAAACATTCGGCATTTGTTTTTTGGGGATTGGCTAACTTCACTTAGCATTATCTTCTCCAGTGCCATCCATATACCTGCAAATGCCAAGATTTTATTCTCTTCTAATGCTGAGTAATATTCCATTGTGTATATATGCCACATTTTTTTATCCATTCATCCACTGAAGGGCATCTAGGTTGGCTCCACAGTTTAGCTATTGTGAATTGTGCTGCTGTAAACATTGATGTAGCTGTGGAGGCATTGCTTAAAAATCATAGAATTCTTTACAGTTTATAGTGTTCACTGCCATTATCTCCTGTGATTTTCATTACATAACTACAAAATAGTCAATATTATCCCCATTTCACAGAAAAGGAAATTGAGACACAGAGGGGCTCCCAGGGTAACCGAATCAGAAACTTACAAGTTTAGACCCCTAGTGGACCCACTTTGACCCCCTCCAATACCACAATAGCCACAGGCAAAGTGGGAGCACAGAGGTTGGGCAAACCTGACCAGTCAACAGCTTCCCTACGTTTGCCTTCCCCAAATGTGTTCCAGCCCAGCCACCTTTAAATTGCTTTGGAATAGAATACCAAGTGGGGATTTATTTAGCATATCATTTCTGGGTGTGTGTTTTCCTGAGCATTTATAGATCTGTATGTTTCCAAGAAGCTGAGTTTTCCTGATAAAACAAGACAGATCATGATAAATGAGCAGCTATGTAAGCCTAGCTGGGAGGAGGACCAGGACGGCAACACCCCTCCTGTGAAGTTAATCCCGTTTCTTTTAGCTGTTTCTTTATTAGTTAATGAGGTCTTGCAAAAATGTGTGTCTGCGATGGTGTTTTAGCATCCTTGCCTCTAGGAACGTTTTCAAATATTCATAAAGTAGCTCATCTGACCAAAGCGTAAAGCAAAGGTGCATTAAGTATGAATTCAGTCAACTTCAAATGTGGGTGGTCGAAAAGCTGCTGCTGAAATAACCTAAATAATCCTCCTCGTTGGTGTTTCCAGATCCGCAGCTCTGGGCGCAAATGTGAAGGGTGACAGGGAAGAGGTATTATTTAGAACAGCTAGGACTCTGAAGGGCAGCCCCGTAGGCTTTGATCCTGCTTCCTGACTGACAGTAGTGTGGCTTGCTTTTGGAAAACAGAATAACTTAAGAGAAACAAAAATAAAACGCGAAAGGGATGGCCAGTGAAGCCTCTGGGAAGGAGAGCAGGCTCTAGAGCATATTGTTCCTGGGAGGCGAGGCAAGAGAAACCTCCTTCCCATTTTGGTTCCTTATGGCATAGAGGGAAAAGTAGAAATTCCATAGATGGTTTGGTGCTCAGTGATGCATTTGGGGAGCAAAGCAAATGTGGAAACTCAGCTACTAAACTGAGCTCCATGGTACAGTGAACCACGGCAATTACCTCTATGACCTGGTTTGGGAGGACTCGAGTAGTGGCAGGG